GCCATAGTAATCAAAACAGCCTGGTACTGGCATAAAAACATGCACATACATCAATGGAATGCAATAGAGAGCCCAGAAATAAACCCACACCTTTATAGTCAATTAATATTCAACAGAAGAAGCAAGCACATACAATGGGCTAAAGATAGCTTATTCAATAAATGGTGTTGGGAAAATTGGACAGATACATGCAGAAAAATGATATCATCTTCTTACACCATGCACAAGAATAAATTCAAGATGTATCAAAGATTTAAATGTTAGACCCTAAACCACAAAAACCCTAGAAGAAAACATAGGCAGTGAAATCTTGGACATCGCTTGTAGCAATTTTTTATCAGATATACCTCCCCAAGCAAGGGAAACAATAAATAAACAAACAAACAAACAAACAAACAAATGGGACTGCATAAAACTAAAAAGTTTTTGCACAGCAAAGGAAATTATCAACAAAACAAAAAGATAGCCCACAGAATGGGAGAACATATTCGCCAATACATCTGATAAGAGGTTCATATCCAAGATTTATAAAGTACTTACAAAATTCAGCACCAAAAAAACAAACAACCCAATTAAAAAATGGGCAAAGGAACTGAATAGACACTTCACATAGGCACTTCACCAAAGAGGACATACAGATGGCCAAAAGCCATATGAAAAGATGCTCAACATCACTAATCGTCAGAGAAATGCAAATTAAAACCACAATGAGATACCATCTCACATCTGTCAGAATGGCCATCATCAATAAATCAACAAACAACAAGTGCTAGCAAGGATGTGGAGACAGGGAAACTGTTTTCCACTGCTGGTGGGAATGCAGACTGCTGCAGCCACTGTGGAAAACAGTATGGAGATACCTCAAAAAATTAAAAATGGATCTGTCTTTTGACCCAGCAATCCCACTTCTGAGAATGTATCTGAAGGAGCCCAAAACACTAATTCAAAAGAACATAAGCACCCCTATGTTCATTGCAGCATTATTTACAATCACCAAGATACGGAAGCAGACCAAGTATCCGTCAGTAGATGAGTGGATAAAACAACCATGGGACATTTACACAATGGAATACTACCTAGCCATAAAAAAGAGGAAAATTTTACCCTTTGCAACAGTATAGATGGACCTGGAGAACATTATGCTAAACAAAGTAAGCCAGTCAGAGAAATACAAATAACATATGATTTCATTCATATTTGAAATCTAATGAACAAAACGAACTAACAAGGAAAATGGGGACAGACTCATAAAGGAGAGCAAGATGACAGCTGGGGTGGAGGGCGGTGGGGGGGAGAGGGGTTGAGCAAAAAGGAAAAAGGGCTCAGGGACTTGAACAACAGTATGATGATTGCTGAGGGGAGGGGGGTATAAGAGGACTAAGAGGTAATGGAAAAAAACACACTTAAGATTAAATTTTAAAAATCTAAGCAAATAACATTAAATTTTAATGTTATTCAATTTCAGCATAGAGGGATATGTTGTAGTTTCAACAAAAGTGTGTTTTGGGACCATTAAGACATCTTGTTTGGTTAAAAATACAAACCCAGAAGCATTGAAATTAGAGTTTCTTATTTAAACAGAGTCAAATAGAAATATGTCCCTGTACCTGTTAAACTAGTTTGTCAGCAATTTATGACTGGTCACTACAGAGCAGTTTTTGGTAGAGCAGATATAATCTAGGAATGAGGAAACAAGACGGTAGGTGAGTGGTGGTTTTTAATGAAACTTTAAGATTGACTTTGCTGTTACAAGGAATCTAAGATCTGAATAGGTGGAAAGATTTGTCTAAGAGGTGAAACTGGGAAGTGAATGTGTGATTCTGCATCTGCATGATGGTCAGGTATCCATTTGGTAAAGGCCATAAATTGTTACATGAAAATTATCTCAATGATCATTTATTAATCATTCACCATATGCTAGACACTGTGCCTTGCGTTTTTATGACTTTTAAGTTTTACAATACGTCATCTAATATCACAAATTTCCCCAAGGTTGTTAGCTAAAAAAATGAGAGTGCTGAAACTCTTGGATTGTTTCATGCAAAACTCACCCCCTTTCTGCTATAACACTCTGTCTTACTGAAAGCTGGCTAGATGATTTTTGAGGCTTTTCTTTGGAAAGAAGAGTGTATCCATGAGGATTGCATTCAGTTGCTTGTAGCAAACCCTAACCAAGGGTACTCTAAACAAGGAAGGGGATTATTTTTCTCATGTAACAAGAAGTGTAAAGCTAGGCAGTTTTTGGTAGTCACTGCCCTTCTTTTTCTCTTTAGCGCTGCATTGTGGTCATAAAAGGGCTGTTCCCTCTCCAACCTCACAGCAACCTCGGTGCCAGAACAGGTGGCAATGTCTGCATCAGGAAAGCAAAAACCTTCTCAGGACCTTCTAGGCAACTTCCTGCTAAATCTCCACCATTTCTGTGAGCATCCTGATTACCAGTGTTTTGAACTCTGCATCTCATTGGTTGGCTATCTCCTTGTAACTTAGCTCTTTTTCTGGACTTTTGATCTGTTCTTTCATTTGGGCCATATTTCTTTGTCTCAGTGCACCTGTTACATTGTAAGGAGTGGAGCCTTAAGTATGCTCCAGGGCAGGACAATCCACTTCGCTCGGTTTGGGCGCTGTATGTGGGGGAGGGGTCAGAGAGGGAACACTGCCTCTTGCTCGGCTCTCACCCCACTTTCAGTCACCTCCCCTGCTACCCACAGGTGAATTGGGACCTTTTGGTGCTGATTCCTGGGTGGGTGGGTTTCTGTACGTTCTAGGATCATATGGGTCCCAATGGACTCTTCTGTGAGACTTGGTTTCTCCTGCTGCTGCAACCCCCACAGATTTTTACAGCCAGAGGTTTTGAGGTTTTATTTCCCTGCACTGGAACCCTAGGTTGCATGATCTGTCTCACTCCCCAGTTGTTCCTTCCAGTTTATACACAAACAACGTGGGACCGCCAGCCACCATCTCACCCCCCTAGTCTACCAGCTACCACCTGCTGCGCATCCCCTCCACCCCAGGTTCCCGTCTCCGCCCCTCCTACCAGCCTGGATGAATGTTTCTTCTTTAAATCCTTGGTTGACCGACTTCCATACAGTTTGATTTTCTGGCAGTCCTGGTTGCTTTTGTGTTTTAAATTGGTTGTTGTCCTTCTTTTGGTTGTGAGAGGATGCGAAGTGTATCTACCTATGGCTACATTTTGGCCGGAAGTCCTTCAGGCCACCCTTATTTTAAATACTCACCCAGAACTTCCCACATGACCTCACATCCAGCCCCTCCAATGATGTGCTACTTTTGCCTGTTCCCCCATATCTTTTACCTTTTTTCAGCTGCCATCTTTAGTCAGAGCATGACTTCCCCATGACACAGGGATATCTGCCTTCCCTGGCTATGCCATGAGTCACTAGACTCTCTTAAAGTCACATACACCGTTGGCCAGAGTGGCAGCACAGCTGTTAACTTGCCATGGTTCTGCAAATCATCTTAACCATCTTATCATCCACTTCCTCCTTTCCCCCACTCCAGGTCTGTAAGGAATATGCTCCTATTTTCAGGAACCCCTGCTCTGCACCCAGCTACACTGGGTACTCAACAAACATTGGTTAAATATCAAATTAGCACTGTTGATGCAAAAAAGCATCACCCAATGCTGTGTAAGTGTGCTATTTGTGAAAGTGTTATTTGCAGATTTTTATTTAAAAATGGGAATTCATAGACCACTACGGGCGTTTGCTTAGTGGAGTACATGTTTCAAGTTCTGTCACCCTGTGTATACATACCCCCATCTGGAGACAACTACCAATGATGACGCTGCCAACCCAGCTGGCGAGATGGGAGCAAATTGGGCAGGAGCCTCAAGGCCTGGCACAAGGAATGGGGTCTCACTGAACGCCACCCCGCGTGCACGCAGGGGGTGCCCCTTCTTGTGGAGAGCAGCACCAATAAATTGGCCTTTGGTCTCTTAAAGATAGGCTAAAGCAGGGGTCCCCAACTTCTGGGCCATGGACCAGTACCAGCCTGGGCCTGTTAGGAATCAGGCTGCACAGCAGGAGGTGAGCTTGAATGTGATGTGTTTGAATCATCCAAAAACCATCCCCGCCTCCCTCCCCCATCCATGGAAATATTGTCTTCCATGAAACTGGTCCCTGGTGCCAAGAAGGTTGGGGACCGCTGGGCTGAAGTATATAAAACCAAATGGCGTCACTCATGTCAACCAAGATGGCCGCCAACCAGCCATGACACGTGGGTTGAAGAAGGAAACGACCCGTCACTTTTGGCACCCTGCCAAATACCTGCCAGGGCGGCAACAACCCAAGGTATGGGCACACAGACATTTCTGCAGAGAGGGCAGACCTGCTGAGAGTGTGATGAGGAACCTTGGCCCTGAGCCACAGCTCAACCCGGTGCCAAGAATTTGGGTGCAATTGAGGAGGACTTTACAGCCAGCAGAGACAGCAAATCTCCCATCACAAGACGACTGCTCCATACTCCTCTGGGCCACGTGCCACCTGAGGCTCTGCCCCACTGAACTCTGCGAACTCTGGAGCTTCTACCGTGCCTGAGGCACTGCTCTAATGGGACCAAGACACGCCCTGCTCCCCAACCACGTCCTCAGGACCTGGTACTGAGACTCTGGGAATCGGGTTCATTAATCCCACATTGATCATTGTGTGTCAACTGTGTGTAATATAACAGAGGACAAGCTACTAATGTAATGTTGAAGTATCTTGTGAACCTGCATTTAATAAAAGCTGAGTTTGAGGAACAGCCCTTGTAGCTCTTGCCTCATTTCTCGCCGCTGCCGACTATAGACTCAGCCCGGCCACCTACTTCCTCCCAGCTGGAGGTGAGAGCCTCCTCCCGAGTTCGGGCCGACAGGGGTCCTACTGAGGGTGCTTCCCGACACTTCCCCCAGCCTCAGTTCCTCGCCCGCGGGGTCGCAGTGCTGGCTTTCGTGGGTTCTCGCCGCCCCGCCGGCAGGCGGCGCCCTGCGGCAGATCTCCCTCCGGGGTCGTGACGGGGCGTGCGCGCTCCAAAACTCCCGGCGCCCCTGCCCGCACTTCCTGGTCGGAGGGGGCCGAGCGGCGGCAGGGGTCGCCTCGGCCCGCCTGACTCCCGCCCCTCCCTCGGCGGTCACCTGGGGCGGAGCGCTGCAGGTACCGGGGAGGCGGACTCGTCTCTTGTCTGGTCTGGCGCCTGGCGCCAGGGACGCAGAAGCCTTGGGTGAGTGCGGAGGACCGGCGCCCTCTGTTTCCCGACCCGGGGTCCGGGTGGTCAACGGCACCCGCGCTGTTTGCCGCTTCCCGCTTCCCAGACGGGCGCTCGCATCCGGGGAGAGGAATTTCCCTTCCAGGGATTCAGAGGCTGAGGTTTCCCTGCGACTTGAGAGGTCTCGACGTGGGGCAGGGCCGTTGGTTGAAAGCCAGTGATGTCCGAGCCTGACCGATCCGGCTTGGGGTTTTCGCTAGCCTGGGCGTCTGGCGCTGTGGTGCGTTTGGGGACCCGAGAGACCGCTAATAAACCCGGTGGCCTGAGTGGGACATACACTCGCATTCTCTGTTTCAAAGGGAGATCGCTTGGAAACATTATAAAAACAGGCGAAGTTACAGAAAAAGGTGTTTGTAATTTTTACTCCCCTTTCTGGCACATAGGTGGGTGGGGTGTTGCATACAGTTACGTTCACACGCGCCCGTGTAGGCGTTGGGGCGGGCTTTCCTCCCTTTCCCCTGGCCTTCGGGAGCTGGGGACCGAGCTTGGCGAGCGCTAGGCTATGAGATTAAGCCCCGGGGCTTTGCAGGGCTGTTTGCTTTTGGAGACAGTGGCGCCCCCATTGGCTCCTCTACGATCAATCTGGACTGGTTCGAAATTCTCTCTAGATAACCTGGGTCCTCCCTCCGGAAGTTGTCGGCTGAAGCTTCTTTTCTCACCTGGCCAGGTGGCCTTGTTAAGTGGCATTACGCGGCGATCGTGAGGACCCGTCCTGCACAGGAAAAGTCCAGTTGGGAGAAAACGTAACTCTCTTTGCCCTACCCCGTGCACGAGACTTTGGTAAGGGGCAGAGGTTGTTGCCGAAATCCCACAGATAAAACCCACGCAGATCAGAATCGCAAAAGACGAGTGAATGAGTGTTTCACTCTCAGAATTGCTAATTGCCTCAGGTCGAACCGTTTCGCTTGTGCTTTTCCAGATTTTTTTTTTAAGTTCTTTAATGATAAAAATGGCTGATATAAAGGTTATTGAGAATTGCCAGTGGGGATCAGCCTGGCTCTATGAAAATCACAGGGATCGGGAAACTAGTTTAAAAACTAAGAAACATAGCACCGCAATGCAATGCGATGTGTGAGCCCTGGTGGGATCCTGATTTGATATCAAAAAAAAAAAAAAAAAAAAAAGTTTGTAAAAAGCTGAGCCAATAGAGGATATTTGCACTGGTCATTCTGTAGCATTAAGGAGATTAGTTTTATTTAGTTACTTTAGGTAATGGTATAATTACCTGAATCCTTGTCTTTTAGAAATAAATATTGAAATTGAAATATAAATTGAGGCTTTGATTCAAAATAATCCAGTTTAGAGAAGCACTGTCCGTGAAGAAGTGAGGGGGAACAGGATGAAAGGCTGGATGAGAGGTATGGGGTATAGGATTTCTTAAAATGTTGTCTCTACTTTTGTGCGTGGGTGTTTTCCTTTGGAAGTATTACCACCCCCACCACACCACCACCTGTGAAGCATTTTTTTTTCTCCCAGAAAGTAGGTTTGGAAGTTAACAGCTCGTGTTACTAGATTCAAGGCGTTCCACAGACCCTCACTCGTAAATTGGGCGTAAAGTCCGCCTCTCTGGACTCAGAGAAAGTCTTTTTCGCCTTCCTGGGGTGCCGCTGTATTTAGCTCAGAAGGTATAGGGTGTTTGCTGAATGTGACAGAGCTGAGTGGATCAAGTTGATGCAGGTGGGTGCTGGGTCAGCTTTTTTTATACAAAGGGTATTAGCAAGCCTTGGGGTTGGGTTGTCTGCAAAGGGGCGGGTTGTGTACAATGTGTAAGCAATTTTTCTGAACTCTCCAAATGCTTTCTGAGTTATGCTCATCAAAAAACAGAGCTCAGAGTAGTGAACACGACCATATACACTTTGAATTTGTGTATACTTCTGGAAGCACTGTATACATCAAGTAAAAATGTACATTACAAAACAAATCACAAGGTGAATGGATCTTATTACTGAAAGAGATCTTATCTTTGTATGTTGTCTTTTTTATATCCTTACCTTGTTTGCTTCAGGCATCGAGACGTGTAAATATTTAGCTAAACCGACTCCTAAAATATTCTGCATTATTCTTTTCCTCTCCAAGAACCATGTTTTGAAGGAGAGGGATATGGTGAACATTCATCCAACTTTCTTGTTTTTTTATCCTCTCTGGAGATGTAGAATTCCTCCTCATTCTGACATGCTTCATTAGTAATTTGGAAAACTGATGACTGTTCGAGGGAGATATTAAAGTTCTGTAGAAGGAGGAAGCTGCGACATGCTCCTCATAGACCTGCATTTCTTAGTAGAACTGATTTTAATGCCTCTGCTTCTAAGAGAAAACAAGCCAAGTAAATGCTATCTGTGATAGTTGCAAGTTGAAGTTAAATGAATCCCCTCAGCCTAGACCTTGCCTAGAGCAGCTTCGCTAGTGTACAATAAAAGAGGTTGTAAAGGTGCTTTAAGAATTCAGTTGAGGAAATGCCAAAGCATGTCCCAGTTTCCTTGCAGTGTGTGGGGAAAATGAGAGAATCAGCAAAAGTCCCCTTGCAATTGGAAAATATCATAGCGAATTCATGACAAAAGTGAAATTGGCTTGTGGTTTAGTTTTCTTTGTGTGACAGAAAGATGCAGTTGTTACGTGACTGTATTTTCTGGCTCAGTTCTAAAAAACAAGATCATGGAGAGAGAAAAGAAACTTACCTGGCCCTTAAGTGACCAGGCAGTAACTTGGTAACGTTTACCATCCTCTGTGTGAGGATGGTGGAATTGGACTCTGGAGAGTAGATTGCTAATAACCATTTTAAGGAATCGCCACAATGTGACACTATCTTCTCCCTCCATCATGTTATCTCAGGGTATAAACACATTAGAAAAGCAGATTACTGCTTTGTCAGTTTAAAATGAGAGGAAGAGGTGTTGGCAATCAAGTCAATAACTCTTCTAGTACACAAACGCTCTGCTTTTATCTACTTCTCTCTGTCCCATCCTGTGAGGTGGAGCAGTTGTGTTGGAGGATTGTTTTAGTTTTTAACAGATGAGAACATTGAAATATGAAGACACTAAGTAAGACTTACCAAGTCGTTTCTTTAGAGATATGGGGGAAGGAGATTTATCATTTGTTGAGAGTTCATGGTAGTCACACACACATGTTTTTAGTTCTCACAAATGTCTCATAGTTAGTAATTATTAGCCCATTTTGCAGATGGAATTGTAGCTAAGAGAGGCTAATAGTTGACTTGAGGTCTTGCAGCAAGTGAAAGTGGAGCCAGGATTTAAATTCAAATCTGTGGGGTCTTAGAGTGTTCAGCGGCACTACCTTAGTAGGCAGTGGAGCTACGCACCCAAGAGTTTGTTCGTTAGTCTAGGCAAGCTGTCTTTTTACCACATTTGACTACCCTGGTTACAAATTGTGGATGTGGGCCACATCCACCTAACAGAGACGTTTTATCAGGCCAGCACAGTGTTAAAAAGTGAACCAGCCCTGAAAACTGGAAGATTTCAGATATTCTGCCCTCAAGAATTCCTGAAGGTCCGCCTGGCTTCTGTTATTCTGTGAGGCAGAGGACAATCACATTTAAACTGTTGTTTCTCTTGCAGTGAGAGGGGTTTCTATAGGTGTGTCTATCCAAAATGGAATAACAAAAGATAAATTGAGAGGCTCTTGTCTCAAGAAAAATAGGAAGGAGTATATTCCTTGGAGGGAATGAGGAGCCCTTTGTTTCCTTTACATAGCTTCCATGTCAGAAAAATGCAAGGTATGCCATCATTTTTCTCATACCCCATTAGCTTTACTTATCACTTCTTTTCCTCTAGACTTTAGAGTTTACTGCCTCTGCAACACAACAAAAATGGAGTACGTGTGTGGGCAAGCTGCAGTAGAGCAAAGGAATGCCTCCAAAATCCCAAACCACAGACTCTTTGTGAGGGAAGATGGGCCTCTAGGGTGTCCTGTGAGGGTGGGGCACCAAGCAGCCTGTTACTGGATGCAGACGGCTCCTGAGCTTGTGCGCCGACTCTCTGTAGGTGCTCTGAGGACCCTGAGGACTTGGGAAGGTCTTCCTCACTCCCCCGTCTCTGCCTGCCCCTCTTGAGCTAATGACAGACCTGCACGAGCACACGGCATAGGCATAACCCTGTCTGAAAGCTCTGCAGGGATGGGGAACTGAGGGGCCCCTAGTCCGGCCTTTGAAAACTTTCTGTGGTGTAAGTCCAAGGGTGGTCTAATTTCCTCATCTTGAAACTTTCAGTTGAAAGTCATGGGACAGATGTTGTCACATCGGTCTGCATCTGGAATTTAATGACAGTTGAGGCTTCTTTCTATATATCTTTACTTCCTTTCCCCAAATCTGAGTGCTCTTAGCTGGGGGGGTGGGGGGGGATGGGACAGAGAGAGGGAAGAGGAAATACCACAAATGGACCCTCATGGAGTGGTTTTGAAGAAATGTTACGTGCTGTTTTGAGGAATTGGTCCCTAGAGCTGTCAGTTTAGATATGTACAATATATTGTGGGAACGGAAGACGTTTCCTTTGCTCTTCAAGGTTCTTTCAGCTGTTCTAATAATTAAATCTATGTAGGACAGATTATCAAGAGAAAAATAACCAAATTTAATTACATACATGTGCATGGGAACATTACATACAGGAGAGTTTCAGACAGAAAGGGGAAATGAGGCATATGTGGCATCCTTAGCCAAGAGTGAGGTAAGGTGCCTTAGGATTTGAGATGGGGAAGAAAGGTAATCCACAGGCTGGTCAGAATAGGTGTTCAGTAATTGGACGTTTACCCTGCTCTGTCGATAGAGCATAAAAAATTATTACTCGTAATAACTTACTATGGTCAAGGTCCCCAATTTAAAATTGTGAAGGGAGTGGTAAAAGGATCCCAATGACTTTCAGTTCAAAAGAATTCACATGCCAACGTGGCATGCCTTGGAAAGGCTGGTACTGATTCCCTTCCTGTATACCCCTGTGATAAGAATA